TCTAAGCCCTTTTGAGTCTTCAATTAAAATCATTCAAGTGTCTTTTCCTTATATTTATTTATTTTTTTAAAAGAATTGCTTTCATATAATCCTCATGAATCTCTTTCTTCTTTATCTTCATTGTCTTGGATAAATGAAGGGCTATCATCAAAGTGATTAGGGGAATACATATACAGGTAAGAATATGCCATCATATATTGATTGTATCATACCTCTACAGAATTTTAAAGTTATTATTTCCTGCACAGTACTTCTTACACAGGTTGCCATCATTCTCATCGCTGAACTGGTAAACATCTCATTCAAATTTTAATGATTAAATTATAAGTTTAGTATGTTAAATTATAGACTTAATTTTAATGATTAAATTATAAGTTTAGTATGTTAAATTATAAGTTTAGTCTATGATAACTAAATGAAATTTCGTCTGATTTGTCATTTTTTTTAAATTCATTTTTTTTCCCTATAAATTGTGTCTAATAATAGTCATGCTAGATGGCTCCAAATTTGGCTGCTTATTTGAGAAACGCAAGGGTTTATAATTGTTTCCTGTTTCTCATTTTTCAAAAACTTTTTGGAATTGTGTATAAATTTTGGGAACAACAAAATTGAATTTCTTGTCCTTATTCATGTTTCCAATTTTTTCTAAAATACAAATAAATAATTAGTTTATCATTCTTGACTTATAAAAGGGATAACAAATATTTTAAATATATATATATATCATACAATATTTGGATAATCTTAAAAATTAATTCTCATGTATAATTTTTTCGTTTTTAATCTAGATTTTAAACAAGAAATTTAAAGATTACAAGAAAATATTTAAAAGTAAAATTTGAATGCTGAGGAACAAGAACCAAATAAATAGGGGGGCTTAGGGAAATTAGGATATACCAAAAATCTGTTATTACTTATTACTGCTAGTAATTCTCTAGATTCTCCAACTTTCTCTACTTTGGCTTAGAGTAATGATATCTGAAATTGTTTTCTTTTGAATTCTGCAAATACACTGCCATATTTAGCGAAAGCACATACAGCATCCACTTGCCTTTGCTTCTTTCTGATTGTCTTTTTCTGATCCAATCCTGCCTCTTTTCCATTCATGCTTCATTGCCTTTTATTTGCTTGCTTGAGAAAAAAAAAAAACAAAGTTAGATGGATATGATAGCTTTATTTTCTTAAATATTTTTAAAAGCATGTTCTATATGTCGCCAGATTTATGTAAAATAGGTTTTTGAATTTTAAAAAATATTGAATTTCTATGAACTTTCAACTTTTGATAGATTATTCAATCTTTAATATCGTTGTTTTTTTTTTTTTTTTGTGTCAATGAAATTTCTATCGAAGCAATAGAATTTGTTGGTGCAGTCTCTTTCTATCTATGCAAATAGCTTGTGCTAGAATATCTTAAATTTATTCCGACAAATGTTGTTGCTTTGGAATAGCTTAATTTAATAGAATTTTGATGCATGCCACTTGTTTTTTTTTTTTTTGGTCACATTTCAACCACGTAATAGCTTGGCATGCATGAAATGCATTACATTACACACAAAATAGATCCCAAATCCAAGCCATGAAAAATGGTATAATGATTGATGTTTTGGATTGTTGTGTGCAATGAAATCCCACTTGCTCATATGATATAGGAATTTCAAATTGTTGGATTTGGGGAATCTATTTTGGTATCCCACACTTGCAACATATTATTTTTGTTTTGTATTTTGGTATCCCACACTTGCAACTTAGGTCTTAAACAATCATTTTAATGATGGTAAAATAATGTGTATATTAATTAATTAAACAATAATTTGTAGATAATTAAGAATATGTTACCGATAAAGGTAGATTCGAAAGACAAAAAAAGAGAGGTGGGGAGAATTTTTTAAAATAATATGATTTGTGATGGATTTGTGATCCTAAATTCTTTGAGTCCTAACGTGAAACTACTGGTTCGAGGTATATATTGGTAGTAGGGAGAGAAGCATTTTAACGTAGTAAAAAAGTGTAATTTTTTTTTTATTAATTTTGAAAATCTAGAAAATATCTATCAAATAATTTATCCATATTTTTATAGAAATTTTCATAAAATTAAGGTCTCGACATTTCTCTCTCGAGACATGTACATATAAAACATCGAAATTTATAAGCAAATGTCATCCATCCCCATCATTCCCCACAGCATCTCTCTCTGTACAGCACAGTTCTGCAATGGAGATTTTGTTTTTCTTTGTAGCATAGCTTTCAAGAAGATATGGGATATTGTGGTTTTAATTTCCCGACAAAGTAAATAATAGCCATTTTTGTGTTGCTTTTTAGATTGATTCCCATCGAAATTCCCTTTCTAAGGCTTTGGATTTGCATTCCCAACTTGTTCCCATCAAATCACCTACTTCCTGCCTTTTAATTTATTTTTTTTGTTGAAAATTTTTATATCTACGATCGATTAAGATCTACGGACATACTTTATCATCTCGATACGTTGATATTGTATCTGCAAATGCTTAAAGAGAAACTTTTTCTATAAACATTATAGAGAAGAACGCTAATTACGTGCTTAAAAATAGATTGTGTAGAGAAGTACTTGAACGTTATTTACGTGCTTACGTCATTTTTGAAAGAACGTTGATATCACGGATAATAAGTGAAATTAGTATCCATACTTCATGTTCGAGTAGTGCTTGAAAATTTTCTGATACCTAGCAAGTCGTTTTTTTTTTTTTTTCATATTTATATAAAAAGACTGTAATGGGTCCTTTCTTGATTCCATTCTTCTGCAGCCCTAGTTGAGTTCATACTCAAAAGTTGTATTATTTTTAGCCCAAGGGGGAGAAATTTTAGGGTATAGCTTTATTTGTGGTGGTATAGGCATTATTTTACATGACTTTAGTTGTGGGCGAGCTTGCATAACGCTGAGGTATAGGTTAAGATTTCGGTTTTGGTTGAGTTTGGACATTTTTTAAACCTAATCCAGTTATTCAGGTTGTAAATTTTTTCTAGTCCATCTTGAGTAGGTTTATTGCTTCTATATGTTCAATTATACTACTCAGAGTTTCTTAAGATTCGTCATGATCATATTAATTATAATCATGTAGGTGAGTGACGTAAAACTTTAAAATAGTGTTTTTTCGTAATTGGGGTGAGAAAGAATATTTCTAACGAAAATAGATTTTTGAGCAAAACCCTAATTTTAAACGAAACTTAAATTTTTATCAAATTTTAAACCGATTTAAAACCTAAGTTGCACTCTTACGTCGAAATTGAAATTGTTCTTTTATTCCTTTTGTGTAGAGAAAGGAGACAGAAAAATGAGCGAGAGCAACCTTTGCTTTTAAAAAAATCCCGCTCTAAATTTCCGACCCTGGCTTTTATTCATTTTGCATGGAAAAATACGACAAAGAAAAATGAGCGAGAATGAAAATGGGGCCTCTTGGCCACCAGCAACCCTTGACTTTTTAGAGAATCTCGCTCCAAATACTCGGATTAGGTCGATGACATGGATCCCGACTTCAAACTCTATAACACAAATTGGCTTTATATTTGTGGTGGGCTTTTCAACTATATTCTATATGGCATACCAAGAAGAATGGGACAATGACAGCTTGGGCATTCAAAATCACAGAGATTTTTAATAGAATTGAAAGCTTTATTCATATTATGTGGTGGGTTTTGCTTTCTAGTTTCATGGAGAGGGAAGGAAGGCCATTAGGTTTGTGTAGAACCCATCAAAACTTGGCTTTCTTCCCTCCATTTTTTAATTCTTATCTTATATCTGTTTGTCTAGCTCGTAATGTGTTAGTCCTCTCGTTTGTTTAATAGACATTTTGTGTCACTATTTAGCTTTTTAATATGTCAAAACTCGTTTAGAAACCTAATAAGAGACAGAGTTCAAAATTGATCCAAACCTAATTTTACGGGTTTTTAAGGTTTCTTTTAAAAAAATAAAAATAATATTTTAAGAGAAAAAATTTGGATAATACGAATCATAATCATAAACTAGCTATCTAGTTTTTGTCTCGAGATGAAAAATGAAAACGAAACTCCCAATTACAAATTTGTCTGAATGTTACTGGTGGTCAGAACCATTAAGAGGTGTCACAAGCTATTGCCACACAAATTAATTTTTTTTATTAAGAGTTTGTGTAATGTTTTTATTTCTAACTTGCGACAGCTAGACTAATCAGAAGTTGGCACACGACAATGATGGGAATTCTATTCGTTAAACACAGAAATACGATTAGGGTTATTTAGATATTATCGTATTGAACGTATTGTACATAGGAGATTACCATCGAGTTTTTTGACTGATGGGACGAGATTATTGGATGAATTTCAGTAGATTCATAGATTCAGACTGAGATGATGAACGAAGAATGAACGTTCATTAGGTTTTTAAAATTTGTTTCTCGTACCTTTTTTTCAATTTAAATTGAAATAATCGATTTTGTATAGAGTGATTTTGATGGTAGAGAAAATAGACGGATGTGTGTGATATGACATGGATCTAGAAACCTTAGCACATGGATGATGACGGAGATCTTAGACAGAGCGGGGATGAGGAAATTTTCTCTACCCCATCTCTGTCTCCATCTCCTATTTGAATTGTCATTCTCGCAAATATTTTCATTTATTTTTATAGATATCGAGGCAAGATTTCTTGTAAAAAATTTAGAATTCTCAGAATATATATATATATATATATATATTATTTTGAATATAATTTCTATTAAAAATATAAAATATCATAATAAATTTAATAATATTTCATAAGTATAAATATATACTTGGACGGGACATGGATTTGGACAAAATCGAGGGTCAGGATAAGAACGAGGAATAAAATCTCTCGAAGATTTGGGACAAAGATGGGGAATATAATCTCTAGATAATTCTTTCTCCGGTGAGTCCTCGCTCCGGTCCACAGATTTAATAGACATATTTATATTATGATTTTTTTAAAAATTATTAATTTCATTAACGATAATAACTGTCATTAGCATATTTTAAAATAAACGTACAAAATGTATCATAAGAGGCATCATAGTCAGAATGAGAGAGAGAATAAAAGAATAAAGATGTTCAAGTGGACACCAAAAATGGCTCCCAATTCACCAATTCTTTTCTCCCTCCTCCGCCACCTTCCTTGCACCGCCGCCCCTTCCGCCGCCGTCCGCCGCTCTCACTGCTCTCCTCCTCACTCTCTCCCTTCTCCTCCGCCTCTTCTAAATTATCAGAACGCTTCAGCCACCGCAGCCTCAGGCTTCCCCTGCTGCGCTCCACCTCGAAACATGGCTGCGCCGATGGAATCGACACCGCTTTCAACACCAGCCGCCCACCTTCCCGATAAGGCTTCACCTTAACGCCGATCGGCCCGCTCATCGACATCAACGGCGGAGGATAACTAAAGATTAAAAATGTAATTAAAGGCTTAATTATAGGTAATTTATCTGCAGAATATGCTTAAAAGATTAAAATTATTGTAATTTATTGAGTATTGTTATAATTTTACCTCGGTTTGGCCATTTTCTTCGCTCGAAGCCTTGAAAACTGCACTGATTTTTCGCCGGAGACAGACGACGGCGACACCTCTGTTTCGGATGAAAACAGAGTCATCTTCTCGTCGCTGCCATCGTTGCCGGTTTCACTGCCCAAACTCTCGGTGCACATTTCGAGGCTCTTCCAGCTGAGGGCCATCGTCGGAGAATATTGCTTCGCCGGAGGACGGCCATCCAGACCCGACAGAGCTTGGAGAATACTCCACCCACCAACAACACTCCCAATGCCATTTGAGGCCGCCGGAGAAGCTTCGGCGTCGGCGACGATGACGGCGGTGTCATTCTCTTCCATTTCTAGATGGGTTTCGATTGGTGGGTCAGAATGAGTTGCAGAGAGATCGGAATCTTCTTCCGCCGGCGGCGGGGAAGAGATGGATTTGGAGGGAGTTAATTTGAGTCTTAGAACACGTGGTTCGATTCGGCGAGGCTCAAGACATGATTGCAAGGCTTGGTAGATACTCGACGACATTGTTTTGGAGTATCAAAATTGTAAAACAGAGTAAGGAAAAGATTGAGATTTGGGTATGAACAAATTGTGAAAAAGATTGGAACTTTGAAGCTTATATGAACTAAGAACACAAAAAAAGAGATGGGTTTTGGTTGGAATTGATGATACTTGGCTTGTGGAGCACACAAAATTGACTTCAATATGAACAAATAAGTGGTTGAGGGCAAGAATTTATAGGGAAAATGAAAAAAAAAATGAATATTTTAATTAATTCTTGCTCTTCTGCTATGTGGACAAGAACATAAAAAGGCAAGGAGAAAATATAAGCAAAATGTTTGTTCTTCGATGGCAATTAGGACACGAGTTAGTGGGTCGGAATCCAAATGCAGCACTTGATGATACTAACATTTTCCTACATCTTGCAAATAAAATTTCTTGGGTTGAGTTAGGAAAAATCTTTCGAATCAACCCCACTGGTTGGATTGGTGAACGAGCAAACAACCTAATCTAACCCAACTCTCTGTTTTTGGGTTGTCACGTTATTCTTTTGTTATTATTAAAAAAAGTAAAAAAAAAAAATAATTTTGATAATAATGTTAAAAATAGGATGGGGTTGTAACTCAATTTTTGGGTCAACCGGACAAAAAAAAAAATGTAAACCCGCAAACGGGCCTAATTTTTAATTTTTCAAAAATTCAATCCAACCTAAATCGAAAAAAAAAAAAATTCTAACACAATCCATCCTTAATGTTTGAGTTAGGTAGTTTAGGTTGATATCCATTGAAGATACCCAAATTCATAAAATGAGTTTGGATCATTAGGCCTTGGGCCTAAAGCCCATTGAAGATACCCAAATTCATAAAATGAATTTGGATCATAGACTAGATGTTGGGCCTAAAGCCCATTGAAGATACCCAAATTTACAAAATGAGTTTGGATCATAGGCTAGATGTTGGGCCTAAAGCCCATTGAAGATACCCAAATTTATAAATTGAGATTGGATCATAGGCCAGATGTTGGGCCTAAAGCCCATTGAAGATACCCAAATTCATAAAATGAATTTGGATCATAGACTAGATGTTGGGCCTAAAGCCCATTGAAGATACCCAAATTTACAAAATGAGTTTGGATCATAGGCTAGATGTTGGGCCTAAAGCCCATTGAAGATACCCAAATTTATAAAATGAGGTTGGATCATAGGCCAGATGTTGGGCCTAAAGCCCATTGAAGATACCCAAATTTACAAAATGAG